CTTTGCTATGTTATTTTAGGGCAAACTCACTTTTCTATGTGAGTCTACATGATAACGAATATAGATAGTAGAAAATAAGGAGGTAGATCTTTCGCAAATTGAAGGCGGACCAAGAGATGGTAGAGATCAGGGAAAGAGAGGAAGGAAAAGGGACCTGAAAAGAATTAAGATGTGCTATGTATATGTTCCAACTACCCCAAAATGAATCTATTTGTTATATGCACAAACATATACTAATAAAAAGCTATTGGTACAACTGTTATTCCTTCTCTTCCATTTAATATCTGCTCCACATTCAAAACTGCCCCATAGTCTCCAAGGCACCTTTTTATACATGGTCTGTTGGAATCAGACCCCCAAGAAGTTTCACATACTATGTGGGTATTGTTCTTTAGTCCATCATAATGTGCTAACAATTCCCCAATTTTCATCTCTATGCTATTTATCTGTGAAGGAAAATAGGTTTTCGTCCTGTAGAATATACCACATTAAGAATTTATCCGATTCCTTTCTGGTGGTACTACTCAAGTGTTCTTTTTTTCCTACAGCATTTCATGCAATATAGCAGTGAGAGGATTTTAATCACATGCATGATAATTTTTGGAAGAAGAATATTAAAGAGGTAGTTCGCTGTGTGTATCCTAGTTTATCATATCAGGATGTACCTATCCCCTGTGTATCTCTCAGTAATGTTAAAATCAGTGGCTTCAGAGGATGGCAGCCTGATATATCTACTATGCATTCTTCATCAGCCTTTTATCTGAGTAGCTTTAGTATCTGAAAGTCATTGTCCAAGAAACTTATTTTTTAAAAAATACTGATTTTTTACACCGATTTACTGTGATTTCTGTAAAGTAGAAAGTAGTTGTGTTTTTCTTCAACTATTTGGTTATCCTGGAACATACTTCTTATAGAAAAGGCAGGATGAATTCTTAATTCTTTTTTGTTCTGTGACAATTCTCAGAAGGGTGACTCCTGGGCCAACAAAGAAAGCCAATAATTTATGTGCAGGTAAGTTTGTGAATATCTGAGCTTTAGATAACCACATATTTCAATCATGGTGGCCATTATTCTTTCTGAGGTTAAGTTGTCCCACTTTGCAGAAAAAGGTCTCTGGGTTGACCTTTTGTCAAAACTGCAGTAGTCTTCTTAAGTACAATAAGAAATCCCAGGGGCTGGGGATTTAGCTCAGTGGTTCTGCTTCATGCCTCACAAGGGCAAGGCCCAAGTTCATTCCCTGGTATGAAAAAAAAGAAGTCCCAGGGTCATCTTGTATGCTTTCTTCCTGAAGCCTTCATCATTTTCCCAAGAAAGTGTTGGTTCTGTTTCATGCACATGAGTAGGATACCATAGTTTGTGCATTATTTATGCATCATTTACATTATTTTTTTCATTAGAAATGTTCATTATTTTTCTAGATCTTTTTAGTGAACAAAACTAGAAAACAGGTTATTTTAAAGAAAAAAGATTAAATTACAAATTCATACTGACATTTCTAATCAATGGTTATGGGTTTTCATTTAACTTAAATTTATATATGCATCTCTCTTCTTATTTTAGAATACGATCTTTTAATATTTATATTTTTATATTCAGGTAGTGCAAAAATACATCTCCAGTTATACTACTCATAAAAAGAACAATAAGTGTACCTTAGGATAGTGTGTGCTTTTATGTGTGTGTTTTGCTTGGGACGTATGTCCCATTAGGGATGTACTGTCAAAATACTGTCAATACTCTCTCTGCTCTCATAATTCCTCTATAAAGAAAGTTCTTAACTCACAAGCCATTTGGTTGTTATATATTTAGGTTCATTTTTCCATGATTTATTCTCAGTTTCTGGAGGTTAATTTTTTTCTTTTGATTTAATTTGTAGATTAATAATAAAACCTTTATATGAGTCCAAAGAAAAGATATGAAACAAAGATGCTGAGAAACAGTTTGCTTGTTTATTGCTTATTTCTCATATCCCATTCTCTCCTTCAGTAAGCGAGCATTTTTATTGGACTTTAGTTGGTTCTTCCATTATTTCTTCTTGAAAATATTACCAAATATGTATGTATATGTTTTCCTGCTTCTTCACAAAAGGCATATATCTAGTCTTTTGCAGCTTGTCTATTCATTTAATATTTTACATTTTGGTTAGTCTGGCCTAGAGATAGATCCCTGGGTGTAGGAGTTTTAGGACGAGTAAATTCCTACAAGAGTTTTACTAAATATTGCCAAATATCCTTTAGTAGAGTTTTATTAGCTTTTGTTTGAAAAGATTTGAAAAAAATAAAGGTTCCCTCATCTCTGACATACTGAATCAGAACTTGGAAATGTGGACTCTTGGGTAATTTTTAGATGATCACCCAGTTTGGAGAAGCCAATTGCACAGTAAATGTTAAGCCTAGCATTAGTTCTGACTTATTGCCTATTTGATGTGCTAATTACTATACTAGGCACTGATGAGACAAATCCACAGACAAAAATAGCGTAGTCACCCCTGCATGATCCTAGAGTCTGGACAGTGTAGGAGAAATACTTATATCAAATAACTGTAGTATCATGAGATTGCTGGTATAATAAACATGTAATGTGCACCTGTTCCTAAATGAGCACACAAGAATGAATAACTAACTCTACAAAAACTGTATCTAGAGTAGATAGGTAATGACTGGTCCTAACTAAAATAAATTATGCATTTAACAGTTTCTCTATAAAACTGATTTAATGAAGTTAACTTGTCTGAGTAGAACAAAATCACCTGGGATCAACTGGTGGGACTGTCCCACGTTGTCCGATGGGACAGTCATGAATATACCACCAGTGGTCAAAGCCACTTGGCAGGGAGACTTACAAATTACAGGCCTGTGGTTAATGTGTTAAACCTGAACTTTTCCCATCTGTACTGGTTTGTTTGCCTTAGCTTCAGATTGTCAAGTTGCAGCTACCATTGGATATTTATGGAGATTTTTGAATCCAAAATCATTACAGCCTTCACAGTCCTAACAAAGATATTTTTGAATGCACTACCATAATTTTGAGCATTCTCTGCTCTGCTTGAAATTAAGTCATTTAGGTATTTGACAGGAGAGAAGATAAAAGTCAATAAAAACAGAATTATTTATTAAAAAGATCTAATGTTACAAGAACAGTACACAGAACTATTATTTGACTGTGCCTTCCACATGTTATATACTATTATATATAGTATATATACAGATTGTATACAATATATCTAAAGGTTTGTCATGGAATCCACAGTACCTTCAGCTGGATATGCAAAACAGTTGCGTTCAAGAAATTTCTAATTAGAAGGAGTCTTATTTTCTTCATAGTTCAATTGATATTATAAAAAAATACAGTCTCTCCAGTGATTTAAGACTGTGAGGTTACTATTCCATCCAAGAAAAAAAGTTCATTTAGTACTGTAGCTGAAAAATAATGTACCAGGATAAGGAATGCTATTTGCTTCTACGAAGTAACAAATATGTAATACATAAGTACATAAACATTGGAACCTGTTTTTTTAAATAGATTTATGATGCAAAATACATATTTTTGTGCATGTTGAGTAAAAACATCCCATATCTCTGCTTCCTGTTAAGAATAAAACATCAGATATTGTATACATAAATATTCTGTCAGATATGTACCATCCATCAGCTATTTGGAATTGTTTAATTTGAACTTACCATGTATTGACATTATTTAACTGGGCTTTGTTTTATAAGAGTGTTAGTAATAACTTGATTCTTAAAGTCCTGCACTAAATTTATTTTAACATATAATGGAGAATGAAGAGATGGCTTAATTCATCAAACAGAAAAAGTTATTTCCAATTTTAAATATCCTTCTTCATTTTTTTTTTAGATGAACAATTTGTTCTTCCATGGTATTACAACATATTGGGGAGAGCTCACATTTTGTTCATTAAACAGTTAGCATCCCTGTAGTTGCAAAGTCCAACCTCTTGGACGACAAAGGAGACATTCAAGAAAGGCCACTGGGTTGCTATTCAAGGCTTAAATAGTCACCATCTGTATTGTTTACTATAATAAACTGTTGGCTTACATAGTCTCATAAATCACTTGTTGTTTGTTTTGGGTTGTCATGGTCATGATTTTCTCCAAACCAAATGAGTAATAGTCATACTATAGCTCTGAAAATAAACAGGGTGTTCAGAATAAAAACGTTCATTTGTCTCCTAATTTTACAAAGATTAACCTCTAGAGCCAGCAATTTGAATTTAATTTTGTTTTGGTTTGTTTGCCATTGGGGATGCATGCAAATAGAGTTAATAGGTTCAGATTTTACAAAGAAAAAGATGGAGACCAAACACATGTTATCAGCTGTGAAACTAGTTTGTTCAGGCTTTTCTGGCAAATGAAGTTGCTGTAACTATTCATTGATGTTCATGGATGTAATATCTACTCTGGCATATCTCACCAAGTAGAACAATTTCATTTAGCTTTCCAGTAACTACTTAGGGTCTCTTACATTCAAGTTGATGCCTCAAAATAGCAGGTAGGGATCACTTTCTAAGCTACAGAATTAATCACGGTGGGCTACACTACCCAAGCCCTTATAATGATGCTACATTTCCAAAGATTAATTTTAAAAATCAGCATATCCAGTAAATTCCCTTTATTTTAGTAGTTGACCAGAATTGAGTGGCACATGATATATAAAACTGTCTAAGATCAGAATTATTTGCTTTGAATCATTTTAATCCACAGACAAAATTTTACCATGCTTAAAGTTATTTTCAGTTAAGACAGCCTTAGACTTGAGCATCTGTTTGATGTTAGATGAGTAGGTAGAGAAATGGGAAAGCTTTGTTCCATATTCATTGTATTTTTAAATTAGCACCTGTGGCAGCATGTCATTGTCTGTAGTCTTTAGTGAGCATATATTCTTGTGAATTTAAGATATCTTTTGTTACTAAAAATAAACATTTACAGGGCTAGGGATTTAGCTCAGCAGTTCGGTAGCCTGCCTTGCAAGCGCAAGGACCCGAGTTCAATCCCCAGTACCAAAACAAACAAACAAACAAGCAAAAAACATTCACCATATTTGCTGCTATTCAACATAGTGCTTAACAGTAAGTTCATTTGGATTTACTATTTACCTAGCCTTAATAAAAATGGCTTATTCTCTACCCCAATAACTTCCTGTACGGGTAAATATAGAATAACATATTGAAAAATCTTGCTATTTTCATTATGCAAGTGTATAGTATTTTTTGAGATTTATTTTTGTGTATTCTATGATGGACCTCATAGCCAAAGTATTTTTCAGATTTCCTGTAGGTTTGGCAATTATAATGGTCAGGTGAAGGGAAAATGAAAAACACTGGATTTGGAGTCTTAAGGAATTTTTCCATTCTCAATATTGTATTTGTTTTTGAAATAGATCTACTAGAGACCACTTTCTTAAAAAATGGATGGCACACACTCAATCATTAGATATAAAATCAAATTCAACATATATAAAATTAAGAATACATTTGACAGAAATTACCTTTGCTTACAAAAATTCATTACATACAATCTGCATATTTTTATTGGACCAAGAACTGTCCTCTCCATTTACAAAAATCAAAGAGCAACCTGATGGATAAGTGTATTTCCCCCACTCCCAACCTCCTGTAAGTGCACCACATGTAGTCCCAAGGTTGTAAAGCTCATATCAGGATCCTGGCTCTCCACTTATGCTACATTCCATTCACTGCTTTTTTTAAGCTAAAACAAATACAAGCAAGTTAAGCCAGCAGTTTCACCAGGAGGTTGAAGGAATTGTCAATGCCAAGAGCAATGTTACTGATGATGGTGGAGAGAGAGTGTGCAAGGTTGACTGAGCGCTTGTGATCTTCCCACCTGTGAAAAAAAGAGAAGCGTTAAGTGAGATGACTGTTTTAGATAATTGTTGCTCTGAATGCAACATCAGTCCTGTTTCTCACTGGAGTGTTTTCTTATGCTTATGAAACAAGACACTGAGATTCCCCATGTTACAAGGTGGACAGAGTTTAATAAAATACTTTGTTAAAAATGATAATTTCATGTCAACAAACACATCTCACCAAGAGATTTAGTGTGGTTTTTATCAACGATGTACTGATAGAAAACATCACAAATTCCAGATATGAAAAATAAACTTTTTATAGTGTATAGTTTAGAAGATGAAGTAAAAACAATTAGTAAAAGTGTGAGGCAACATGAATTCACAATTTAATTACTTCAATTAACTTATAAATTGAAAAATAAAATAGTATTTTCTTTGAGTCTTTATTATACTTGAGTAGGCTTAAATTCTAGATTCTCAATGCCAAACTTAGTAAAGAAGGACAATCTTTTATCATTCTTACACATAGGTAAAACTATTGAGACTAAAACATGCAGTTTGATTGAAACAACAGATCTGAGTTGATCAGTCTGAAATAATTTTAGTAGTTCCTCATGGCCACAAATTAGGAACAACTTTTGGATGCTATTCTCAGGAATGGTTCTTCAGGCCAGACATCTTCTGAAGTATTGTGATTGGCATTTAATGAATGCTCACTATATGTCAAACAGTATTTTAAGCATTTTATACATATTTTATTTGCATCTCAAACATTTCTATTGTTTAAATGTCACTTTTATGCTCTTGTTATACATGAAAAAAAAGGTTCTTAGATTGTAGAATTTGCTCAAAGTTCTTAAACTAGGGAATACTAGGTCCTGATGCTCTAATGTACTGTATCTCTGAAAGCAGTGATTGGCTTTGGCTATCAACTTACAAATAAAGATAAATCTACTGCCTACTTTCTGGAATCTTCTGCCAAGTTATGTTTTCTTGTTAGAGTTAATGTAACCAGATCATAAAGTTGATTTTTGCTGTAAAGATAGAATCTAAATTTATTCTCCAGAAGTGTGCATAAAATCTAAAGAGTTATTTCTTTGGTAAACAACAACAATAACACACATAAAAAATCATCCTTTCTTTAAAAATTTGTACTCACTGAAATCTTATTACTCAACATATTGGACAGTGTTAAATATATTTCAACTTGTAACAAATAAGTCTATGTAATGTACATGGCCACTTAGGAGCTTAAAAAAAAGTGAGATGACCAAGCCTTATTGGAATAGTTTGTACATGCTAAATAAATGTGAAAGCATTCTTTTTATATACAATATTTGAAAATGGCTGTGTTCTTGTTAAATCAACATTCACAACAGAAGAAATCTCATTTTCAAAATGTTAATAAAGACTACAGCTTGTATACTATATAAATCCACAAAGCTAAAACTTCTTAGCATAGCAAACAAACAAAACCAACCAGCAAGCCCCCATAAAAACCAGTAAATCAAACACAAAACAATATTAGATTAAGTTTTAGCCTCCAGCTATAAAACTGCCTATTTTACTTGGTACTTTTACTTTTATTTTTTCAATCTATTTATCTTTTGAGATAGTGTCTCCCTATCATTCAGGATTGCCTGGAACTTGCAGTGATCCTCTTTTCTCAGCCTCCCAAGTGCTGGTATTACAGGTGTGTACCACCACACCCAGCTGCCTATTTCCTCTTGGGCAAGTAATTTCATTTTCTTTTGGTACATGATTTTTAAAATATAGTAAGAATTAAGTCAATAATCTACAGTTTTTATGGGTCTAAGGTAGATCCTACTGTGAGATTTTACTTCATTAAAACTCAGGAAAGTGGCAACACTGGCCAAAATGTTATTAACTAAAACATAAAAGTTATCAATTTTTTATAGCAGTAACAAGTTAATTGAAATAGTAATGGGAGATCCAGGTCTGTATAAGTACTTCCAAGCTTGGTGCTGGTCTTATTCAGATGACATATAATCTGATTATGTTAGAGGTGAAAATAACTTTCTACATTCAGAGAATAATAAAATTGCTAATTCAAAAGATTTTTAGAAGGATAAAATAATAATATATAAAATAATAATAATAGCATAATGCCAGGAACGTGATGAGGATTCAGAAAATTCTCCTTGCATTTTTACTAGAAATTTGACACTTAGGAGGCAAGAGGGGTCATCAACTTTCATTTTTTACAAAAATCTTTGGTCTTTCAAGGTGCTCTTGAAAATTAAGTACCCTTATCTGAACAGTTTAGTTATAAATTAACCAGTGAAGAGAAATTATCAACATTATTACCATTCTTTTTAAATAATAAGGATAAAGTGTATCAAGCTTTTGTGTGACCAAAAGTAATCCTATGTAATGTAAAATTTACTAATAAAAAACAAAAGTTGAAAAAAAAAACAATTAGGAAAAAATTCCTAAGTCTTTTCACCTGGATTTCTGAAAAGGAATAGTTTCTCTTTTTTCTTTTTAACTATTCATCTTGCAATAATTTTAGATTACTGAAAAATTGTAAGACTAGAACAGAGAATTCACCCAGATTACTTCACTATATTATCACTTATGCTGTTATTTTTTCAATATATATTTTTCTCAATGCTCTGAAATGATATTACATCCTAAATATTAGACATCCCTTAAATATTCCAGTATATTTAAGTTTGAAATACAGAACATTTCCTTAGTCAACTACAATACAGTTTTTAAAAACAGGAAATTGTTAATATATTATCAATTGTATTGACAGTCAAATTTTATCAATTGTCTCAATGTTATTTATCTTGTGTTTTTATTCAGGATTTCATAATTTATGAAGTATTATGTCAGTAGCTTTTCCTCAAAGTCTGGTGTTATATTTTCTCCATTATATCCATCTCATTTTATAGCAGCAAAAAATATCATGAACAATGCCTCTAGTGTGATAGACAGATAAGATGTGGCCACACACAGAGGATTACAAGATATTGCTGGAGACTTCACTTCAGGTAGATACTTCTACTTGAGAATGACTGTTAAAAAAATGATTATAATTACTCAATTAAGTAAACACTGAAATTTTACATAGTATTTTAACTAAAATTGTCTAATAATTAGATATTTACATATCTAATTATCTGCTTCCTTTTATGATATCTTGACAAAAGGGATACTATTTTTGAAATTCATAAAACTTTTACCAATTTTCCCTTTATCATATGATGGTTATGATATGCATGTTACGCATGCATATATGTATACATGTATGTATATATGTTTTATATATATGTATGTATCACATGATGGTGATATGTATGCGGCTAGGTTGGAATCATGGTTCTGCTAGTTAGCAATGTGTGATGTTAGGCAAGTTACTTAAATTTTCTCTGTTAACAGGAAAAATTCCACCTACTTATTTGATTATTATTAAGATTAAATAAGACGATGAATGTAAAGTCTTTTTGACTATGCCTGATTTATAGCAGAAGCTCAGTAAAGTCAAGCAAGCTAATAATAAAAATGATTAATTTTATTTGTTTAGAAATCAATGAACATTAAATTTTAATATCAAAAGCATCCTTTTAAACTTACCATTGTCTAATAATAAGAGTAATCAAGATAATGGAGAAGTATTCTGAACTAGGGAAAGATCAGCTGAAAAGTAATACCGAATTTCAAAACTTACATGGCCAAGAAGATACTAGGAGAGGCCAGCACAGACAAGAGAATTTCATAATTAAGTACATTCTAATGAAACTATAAATTGCTTTGTAGATTTTGGGAAATTCTACAATTGTGAGCCAAACTACTATGGTTCATACTAATTGGAAGATTATATAGAAATCAAAGTTAAATGAGAAACCTCTCAAAAATTATGGAACTATATAATCTATCATTCAATTTTCGTGAGCTTTACACCATCTTTCATGGGCCGTGTCCATCGAATTAAGTGTCTTGTGTTAGAACTTACCTGAATATGATGGTACCCTGATTTGGGAACTAACTGTACCATCTCCCCCTTCGCTGAATGCTCGAATTTCAATAATGTAGATTCCAGCGTCAGGGAGTGGTACTACTGCTTGAGGTTTTTGTGTTTCAATAACTTGGCTGTTGCTGTGACCCTCTTGCCTGTAAAAAACCTGTCAATAATAACAGAAGTTTAAACATCTGATAGTCTATTGAGAATTACAAACATTTACTGACTGCCTAGGACAGTATGTATCACATTTCGAACTAAGGACAAAGAACAACTGCTCAGGTTTGTAGCCAAAGTAATAAGTAGTGTATGCATTAGGTCCTTCAGTGGAAGTATACATCAGGGGCTATGGAAGTGTAGATAGTTTAATTCTCTGTGGGACTATAGGCAACTTTTTCCATAGGAGGTGGTACCTGAATTAAATATTTAAGGATGATTATATTTTACCAGTTAGAGAAGAATTCCATACAGATAATAAGAGATTAGAAAACTGATAAGAAGCCATGGTGTTAGGGTATGGAATAGAGAGTAGATGTGTAAGAACAGTGAGTAATGAGGATAGAGAAGTAGGTAGCAAGGACCTAGGTCCTAACAATCTTTCATGGCTGGTTATTAAAATGAATAAATACCATCTTGAGGGAGATTTAGAAGCTTTCATTCTCAAGTTGTTGAAAAGAATCAAGAGACAATTTGTTTAGCATATAAACACTCTTTACTATTGGAAATGGTTCAGAAGTTAACATTTTATTTATTTTTATTCTGGTAGTGGTTTGCTTTTTGGTAAGGTGGTATGTGGACAACACTGGATAGTGAAATTAAGGATTTTTGACTTCTGACTGTTGTACTAGAATAGAACATACATGCACAAGAAAAGTGCAAGTAAGGACAAAGTATTATCCTGGGTTGACAGAAAAAGAAAACTAAGGCCATTGATCAGTTGAGCAGTATATCAACACTACGTTACTAGTTAAGGTTAAAATTTCATTAGAATGTTAGTATTCTGATGACCACTTGAGAGAATCTTTCACTGTTATTCCTATGCTTTTGTCACTCCAGTAATAGTTCAGTATAATTGGAATATAGTAGTTAAATAAGAGCAATTAAGACAAATTTAATATATTTATTCATTTTCACTCCTTTTATGCATTTTCAGAGTCATTAGTACTATAATATGATTGCTTTACATAATGGAAATAGTTATGGCTTTGTAGCCATACAAATTTGGATTGAAAATAATTTCCTACAGGACAAAGTAAAACAATGCTAAACTATTTTCTACACATTCGTGCCTGGGTATATTTGGGCAAATTACTAGCCCTTTTCAACCTGAATTTTGTTTCCTGTGCACTGGAAATGATATCACCTACTTCATGGTTTTGCTAGAATAAGGAAATGAGAGGGTGTATGTAAAATACACAGCGCAGGACCTGGTGTGTGTAAGCTTCACAAGAGAAAGTTACTCCTTTTGTTACTAACGGTGTTCACTGGCAATGGAACAACATTTCGGTTGCATCACAAAAGATTGGGGAAAACTAGATAAAAAATATGTATACTTTTCTATTGGAAAATGTGTTTTGAGCTTGAACCAATTCACAAAGAAAATAAACATTAGAAAGGCAATATGTTCATATATTAAAACTTGCCTGTACTTGATTCTCCCTTCTGTGTTTCAATAATATATATTCTCTCTATCTTTCATGCATTGGAATTTACTTCTTAGGATCTAGACAGAAGTGACCTTTCTATGATAGTAAAATATGATGTGTAATTATATCTATTGAGATTCTTTTTGAGAATTTTATAGCTGCAGTGCAAAGTGATAAGAGAATTACCACGTACGTACTGGACAGTTCGTGTAGGCCACGTAAAGGGTTGTATTATGGATTCATCAGAAGACATGATTCCTGCCCTCATCATACTAAACTCTTATATCAGAGACAGGTCAGCAATGCAATATAGTGTAGGATATGTATTGCAATAGGAAGTATATTGCTCCTGTGGATGTGCATACAGTGAATACTTAGATTGAGGAGTCAAGAACTCTTCCTGGAGGATGCAGAGTGTTTAGATTTAAAAACGATAACTATATAAGGATTTGTAGTTTTGATTTTGACTGTAAAAATGTAATGAATTAAAATTTGATAAACTACATGAAGTAACCAGAAGCCAAATTTATGGGAATGGGAAAGTGTGTAAACTGGTGAGGACTGGCCGGGGAGTAACTATTTTAGAGGGCACTGTTGTTATGGTTCAATAAATTACAATTTTATGACAAAAAAAAAAAAAACACAGCCAGTAATGCATATCTAATGTTGCTGTGAAATCAAGAGTTGAAGAAAAATTTGTGGACCAATTAATATTTTAGGCAAAAAGGTAAAGGTAGCCAAAAAACAAAATCAGTTAATGGTCACGCAAGGAGTTTGAGATTAAATGTAGTTTTCCCTGATAACTCCTAATAGCTGCAGTGTTATATAACAGTAAGCACACAAAGTGAAGTCATATTAAATTAATGGTTAGACTTTGATGCTTTAGGGAAATCTTGCCTCAATTTAAAATCCTGACTTAAAAGAAAAAATGAATAAGAAACAAGATTTAAGGAGTTATCAAAGTTGAAATAGTTATTGACAGTAAAGAGGCCAGGGAGTTCTTTGAGAATCTGGACACTTAGATTGGCAGTTACAATGACAGCTGTCTTTATGGATAAAGAAAATAGTCTAATGTAATGTCAAGACTGTTCTCAAATCTGTTAAAAAAAGCCAAAAGCTTTGGGTTATTAAAAAATGATCCTAAGCAAAAATTTAATTGGTATTGCTATTCTCAAAGGCATGATCTAGAAATATCTGTTCTATGTGTCTTATGGTAACAAAATATTAAGGGGGAATGTGCTAGAAATATAACAGAATACACTTTTGCTGGCTGTGTCTACAAGTGTCCCTGAGAAAAATGGATCCTACTAAAGTGAAAACTGATTTCCTCAGCTGAGCATTCTGAGAACAGTTGATGTGACAACTATTCTTCTAATACAGGGCAAGTAGGCTGGGCATCTTGGCTCATGTCTATAATCCCAGGACTCTGGAGGATGAGGCAGGATGATCACCATGAGTTTGAGGCCAGTTAGGACTACAGAGTGAGTTCAAGTCTAGCCTGAACTACATAGGAAGACCTTGTCTCAAAAAACAAAAGCAACCCAAAACAAACAAAAACATAACAGAAGGCAAGTAATCTAAACCCCAGGGTTAATAGGTTGAGTCAAGCATGAAAAAAAACCCCAACACTATAAAATACAAGAAATCAGAATTAAAATGGTTGTAGACTTCTTGAGGCAGTGGAGAAATAGCACTGGACTCCAGGTTGTGAAAAACAACATCTGTGCAAGTTTATATATATCTCAGTCTGGAAGGCCCGAGTTGATATTGAAGTTGCACAAGCAAGTAAAAATTTCTGTCTGTATTGGTAGATCATGAGACCAGTAAACTTTGGGCTTGATTTCTCCCTCCTCTCTCTAGTTCTGTAAACAAGTAGAAAATTAGAGTTGGAAATGGAGGATACAAGGGGAAGGCATTGTCAGTCTAAGAAAGAATATTTAACAGAATGTTATTTTTTTCCTGGTTTAGAGCCTGAAGCTCTTGTCCTGAATTCTTTCTGATTGCTTGTGTCTTTTCTGAAGAGGAAAAGTTTCTCTTGGTAGGGAGGCGAACATTGGCACAAGTAAAAGCTCAGCCTATGGACATTGAGTACTTATTTTCCTTTTCACATCAGCATAAAAATCTGAGGAAAATAAGGTGGGGATAAAATATCTATTTAAACTATAATTTTGGTAAACTTCTCTCATTGTATAAATAATAATAAAAATTCCACTTGAGATCATTAGGAAGAATTATGGCTGAATATACCTTAGTTTACAGTTTTGTTGTTAGTATTTCTTGAGTGATGCCAGTTAACAGATTTATAACATATGCCCAAATTAGTGAGAAATATGGATATGAACCCCAAACTAATGGAATTATCAAAATTAAATGTTCTTCATTTAAAAATATCTTGGGGAAAAATACACCAAGTTGGGAAAACCTTCATTTGAAGTTTCTGTTTTACTTTCCCAACCACTTATAAGTAATGTATTCATAAAATATGTAATTGATTCCACATTGAGAAATATAAATAAAATAAAGTGGCACCCATTAGTTGACCTGAAATACAATATATGCTAATAATTTACCAAATGATAATTTGTTTTGATATACTCCTAAGTGAAATAAATAAGTCATACATGTGTAAATACCAAATAGTTTCTCTGGTGTGAAAAACTATAACAGTACATAAGATCCTAATGAGATAATTGACAATGAGAAATAGGAAGAAAAGGACTAAAGATGTAGGGAAAGTGGGAAGGGTAGGGGAAAGGTAATAAAGGAAAAGAAAAAATATGAGAAAATGAAAAAATGGAAATAAAGTGTTTGTAAATGGGGAGGGGAGAAGGGGGTGAAGGGAGGGCAGGGACAAGGGGAAAAAATGAGAACCAAGACTTGTCATGTAGAGGTACAAGATCCCAATAATGAATGTAACTGTACTGTATACCTAAAATGTACCAATAAACTAAAAAAAAAGAAAATTTGTTTTGAATGGGAATAATTTGTACTATTAATGATTACAATAAGAGACAACTCTTTCCCAGCATTTTTCTGATTTTTCATGCTTCTATTGTTTTTATTTTTTAATGAAAACTGATACCTTGAACTGATTACTGTTAAGTCTGGACTTCTAATGCAGAATTCCAAGAAGTCCAGAATTTCTTGAAAAACAAAGCTGTGAGAAATTTCACCACTAGGTAATGCTTAATGTTTATGAATTAACTTAGTTTTAAGGTGTTACCTGTGACAGCCACCTATGGCTTAATTCCATTCTTCTGTTATGTAATTCTTGTTTACTTTCAAGGGTCCCGAGACGACTTTGTGATGGGGAGATTGTTTTTTCCCCCTATCATCTTTTCTTTTATGATCTTACGGTTATTCATGTTGTTGACAAACCAACCTCTGAAATCAAGTCAAGAAGTGAGATACTTGCTGTCCTGGTTTGAATGTGGTGCCCACAAGATTCAGGAGTTGACAGTGTGATAGGAGGAGCTGAGTGCTTTGGAGTCAAATTAGGTCCCAAGGGTTCCTGCCCTGGTGATGGGGAGTGAGGTTCTTCTCCACGCAGCCTCTGGCACTTTTGCCCTTCTACCTCGTGAGGACACAGCATTCCCCTCTTTGGAGGACCAAATGTGGTAGAGCATTAATCTTGGGCTTCTCAATCTCCAGGTCTTTGAGAGAATAAGTTAACTTTATTTATAAATTACCCAGTCTCACCTATTCTGCTACAGCAGCACAAAGGTACTAAGAGGTATGCTTTCTTAGAAAATGGATTGATATAAAATTCTTGTTTTATTTTATCTTATGCTAACTTTGTGGTTTATATTATGAGAATGAATTTTCTCTTATATACAGTATTTTTTTTTAAAAAAAGAAGGGCTTAGTGGATTATTTATGCATCAAGTATAAGGACCACATTCATTTTCCACTTCTCACCTACTGTCATGATCTGGAAAATATGTAAGTGAAAAATTTTCCGACTTTGTTAATCTTAAACTGTACTTGATGTAAAAGGTATAATTCTCAATCTCTGAATTTTAAACCTCACATAGGGACTCCAAGTTCCCAACCTCAAACCTATGTATGATGCACATTTCCAGAAATTGCTTTGATTTGTTAAAGTAAAATAGTTGGCAAAGGCAGAGTTAAAAAGAACATCGCCTCCTCTTTTTTTTTCTTATTCTTTTTTTTAAAGACAGGGTCTCATCATATAGTCCAGATGGGATTTGAACTCACAGGGTTCCAGCATGTAGCCCAGGCTGGCTTTCAACTTAGAATCTTTCTGCCTCATCCTCAGTGCTGGGATTGTAGGCTTGAGCCATCAAGCCTGGTTTATGACATTCCCTTTTGACATTCCAATTAACTGTGGAAAGTCTCCCTTTCCATGATAATCAAGAAGCCTTCTACCTCAAATTTTCCAAGCATCTCAGAAACAAATTGCCTTACTGGGTCAGTCCAGTCTCAAATTACCTCATAAAAAGAGAAACAATGTATTGTGTCCCTACTTCTATTAAACTTCTGTGACTGCCATACACTGCTGTGCTTAAGATGTGGCCTGCTATTTACCGTGTTTCAACTCTTCATCTGGCAGTGTTTTGGGGATATAGTAGGAATCAAATGGGATGCCTTTTCCTCGAGTATAGCACCCAGAGTGGATGTCCTGTGTTTCGGTACCTTCCTCCAGTGGAGCAACTCTGTAACTGCTGTGTGGAGGCCCTTGTTTAGGCTGCAGGTGTTCTCAGAGTCAAGCTCAGAAGAAGGGACTCCACATCTGTGTTTTCCAGGTTCATGCCTCTTTTCTTTATGTTTAGCAAATATTTGTAATTACATTTCTGTCCCATGGTCCCTGTGTCAGGAAGACCTTTCATCCTTAGCAACTTCCCCAGGTAAACCCGAATTTCCCTGGAGAATCCAGGCTCTGTGTCAGGCCCAGTAACCAGTGAGGAGCCTCAAGGGACCTTCATATCAGTGGTCCTGTCATTTGAAACTCAGTGTATGAGAAATTTTAATTTGGTTGCAAAACAAAATTTGGAGGTCTCCATTTGTGATTGGTAAACTCCTTTCACAGGAATCAGTCTCGGGGATGTAAGAAAGTACAACACTTTCAAGGGAATGAAAAGGAAACGTTGTTCTGGCAATGTGTGTCTGTTTATCATAGCTCATATGCCTGAGATGGACTCTGACTGATCCTTCCTGTATCAAGATGTTCCAAGTTAACCTGTGTTGCCTTCATAGAGAGAAACCTGGAGGGCAATTTTAACTCTCAGCTTACTGTTCAATTTTTTAATCAGTTTTATTTTAAAACTTTTTTCACCAGGGACTCTTCTCTAATAACAATTTGAAAACAAATAGTATTTTTAAACGAACACCTTGTAAATGTCAAGTGTTTTAAAGAAATAATCTAATTTTCAAAATTCTGTATGACAGACATTATTACTACTCCTACCAATTTTGAAATTAAGATGAAACTCAGAGATATTAAACAACTGATTCCACGTTATATAATTATAGTATGACCTGAAGTCTGCCTGACTTAAGCCAGTGGTCTTTTTTCACTATACCACAACAAAAGGAAAGGTCATGCTGGAAAATACACATACACACGTTAGATGCATATAGACTAGCAATTGCATACAATATTCCTAATTGAGTTAAACTTAATTTACTTAGCCAGTCTACAAGCACTGAGGATGAAGAGGCAAATAGAATAGGGTCAAGGAGATCAGTCAAAGAGACCAGTCACATATAAAATGGAAGAGGAGAGAGAGCGGCGGGGAGGGTATCAACTGTGAGCAAATGGTATGGGTATCCAGACTGGGACCCTAAACCCAACCTCGTGGATTTATCTACTCATGCATTTCTCTGTTCTCACATGAATCTTCTAAGCTTTTTATTTTGCTCTCTCTGCATTCTACATTGCTTTACTAGTTTGGAATTTTGGTTGCCGTGGTTCTCATATTCGTATGGCTCTAGAATGACCTGTCAAAATTTCTGGCAATATGGCTACCCCTAAAAATAGACGAGTGTATTTGCTTTTGAGGGCAATTTGTGAGGACATAATCTTTTGGGAAAGGATATAAAAGGAAAGAGCTCAGGGAGAGGTCCAGAAAATGGCTTAGCTACCAAAGATCAAATTCAGTATTCTTGAGGATTAGGGACAGATTTGAGTGTATATAGCTTTGAGCATGAACGTGTCTGTGATCCATACTAATTACAATAAGAGATGCTACAGGGCATATCTTTAAATAATAGGAGCTACTTCAACATATACATTCCATTTATAACTGCTTCAGGTTTTAGCTTGAGAACGTCAACATTTTATACACAAAATACTGTGTTAACATCTCAGATAGCAGAAAACCTATGTATAAAGATTTGTTTAGATTAAATATTGTCATTAAAATATTTTCAACTCTACCATAAATAATATTGAACTAATGCTTTTGTGCAGAATTGAAGGCAATAAGTTGAAGTTGATAATGTGGAACAAGAATTTGAAATTAAGCCAACTCAATACATGCACATATATTTTAAATTCAGAGACAAAGTTGTTTTTCAAAAACAAGGTGTGTAGATGTTTCATATTTTCAGATCTCTTGTTGGCATATGGTAGGACAATTTTAAGAGATGTATCTGATTTGGAGCTTGCTATCTCTTTCCATGAACTCTTTCCTGTTTCATGTGCTGACCCTAGCATTTTTTGCTTTTGCTATTACTTTTGTCATAGTCTTTCTATGCTATCTAAAATGTCCAGTGCCTGCCATTTGCAGGCAAAGTTTGTCTATGGGGAGGATGTGCCAGAGGATCTTCTGCCTGGTACCATGAATTATGGAGCTATCTTCATACAGAATTACCTTCATACCAAATTTAAATTGTTGTTGCTTTTTTCTATCCTTATTCCTTCACTTTCCATGCCTTGTGCAATTCAAATTCAGTTTGGCTTTCCGACCTCTAGGAAGATTTTCATTATAAGACATGGATTAAAAATGACTTATAGAAGACAGAGGCTTGTTTTATGCCTCATTAATGGTCCATTCTCATAATAATAATTTTGAGCATGTAAGCCAGAGATAAAGAAACACTAACCTTGTAACCCAGGACTTCAGATTCGTTGGCTAAAGGTTTGACGGGCTCCCAGCCTAGAGAAACCTGAGACCCCTGCTGCTCCCACCTGAGGTTGCTAGGTGCTTGACTAGGGGCTGCAAAATATAAAGTGAAAGTGAACTGACATGGATTCTCAAATACATTTCTTCATTTAAATCTTTTTCAGCATTTCAATTTTTTCATGTGTTTAGTAGCTGGCTGATACCATAGGCTTCCTTCCAGAGAGAGTCAGATAAGGAGGGTTTTGCTCCAGGAGTGTCACTTTAATAGCTGCTCTACTAAGCTTTTGAACTTGAATCCTTTTATCTCCCTTCTGTGTCAAAATCACTTAGCCTTGTTTCGCAGGAAGATAACCTTTATCTACTGTGAATGCAAAATTTTCCGAGCAAGTTTTGGAATTCATATCTAAGCACTGAAGCAAGACTATGAATCAAAACTCCCCTGTGACTGCTTATTATGTACCTTGCACAGCTTTAAGAAATGTGAAAAGATGCTGCCCTTTTGTCTGAAACAAACAAGAAACCCAGGTCACTTACGGGATTTCTTGGTGGTTGCACTCACTTCACTGCTAGGTGGCCCATATCCGGCTCCATTGTAAGCCCTCACTGTGAAGTGATATAGAGTATTTCCTTCTAATCCTGTCAAGATGATGAATGACTCGTTCCCCCTGGTTTTGACTGTTTCTGCTGCATCTTCTTGTTCCATGTCTTTCCAGTAACCAACCTGTCAACGCATTATCACAAGACAAATTAATTTTAAGGTTTTCCCTGGGACTATGACTACTTGAATGTTGTTCTCTTTTTTAGATGTAGCTGGAAGTCCCACCTGGAAGAAGTCACCCTCCTATAACCCTGTTATCAGGCCTTACTAATGAGGCCAAAATGGTGGTGCAGGTCACAGCCTGCTTTGCACCTGTGTGAACTGTAGCATCAGTTCAGTACTCTGCAAGGCAGCAAAATCTGGTCATATGAAAGGGCTAAAATGTATTCTGATATTAAGGAAGAATCATTCAAAAAACAGAAATGCTTTTTCTCTTGTAGTTTATCTGAACCATTTACTGTTGATTCAAATACATGAAAAGTTGAATAAATTATCCAAGAAAGAAGCATGAACAATATTTCCTCTTAGGCTTCACATAAAGATGAATCACTCAAGCTGTGTCAATTGAATAGAGAGGAGGTAGCAGCTCCATGATGAATTGGAATGTTTTAAATGTAGAGACGTAAAATAATCAGTGTATGGGAGAAAGGCAGAAAGAAAGAGCTTTCTAGCAAATCTCAGTTGTGCATTGAGATCATCTTCTCTCTTTTTCATGAGGTGGCTGTTCTCATAACAGACTCGATCCCTTTAAGAGAGTTGCTGTCTCTTTGAAGCTAAGGCTTAACTTTGCTCCAACTCAAGAACATAACACTGCATCAGTGCATGAAGAGTTGTGCCCATATTCCTAAGTTACTGTGGTGAAAATAGTTGATCATTGCATTTACTTCATTTTCTTTCAAATGCTTTGCCTATTGTGGAATCTAGAAAGTGAAACACAACAGTTTCCAGATTCTGTTTCATCTAAAGTTGCTGGTATACAGTGTAGGCTGTGAGGAGTTAGGAATCTGGAGATATCCTAGAAGAGCATGTTTAGGATTGTCACTTCTAGTTGAGATCAAAGAACATAGCAAGTCATTATAGGCTCTGATCTCAAGACTGAGCGTGTGGATTACCATGACATTTTAAGGACCCCAAGCGTCCTATGTGCTGGCTAGAGGCAAAGAAATCAAAGAGTAGGGAGAAGAGGAAACAAATTACAGACTGCAACTGCAGCTTTATGAAGTGAAAAACATAGTAGTTAGCACTGTTTTTTCATAGTTATACTTAGGTTATACAGAATTTATAAATATGAAGTCATTTGAGCCTCTTCCTTTCTTCTACTTTTGTGTATTAAGCATGTTATTGGTAGGCAACTTTCTAATTTATTTCTTTAGAAGAGTGACCTTTTACCTTTAGATGAACAGATTAACTGATAGATTTTCTTTGGTTTTCCCTCTTGATGGCCCTTTAATTTGTAAAGTAGAAATTTGCACGATGGGAGCAGGGAACATTGTTGTTACTAATTGATGCTCTGGGGCGATGTTGAATGGGGCAAAGGTGTGTATAATCTACATGACAAGTCTTGATTCTCATTTTTTCCCCTTACCCCTGCCCTCCCTTCACCCCCTCCTCCCCTCCCCATCTACAAACACTTTATTTCCATCTTTTCATTATCTCACATTTTTTCTTTTCCCTTATTACCCTTCCCCTACCCATCCCACCTTCCCTACACCTTCAGCTCCTTTCTTCCCATTTCTCAATGTCAGTAATCTTATTAGGATCTTCTGTATTATTGCAGATTATTCACACCAGATAAACTACTAGGTATTTATACATGTGTGCCTTATTTATTTCACTTAGGAGTTTATCTTCAATATGTATCCATTTTCCTATGAATGAATCTATTTTCTCATACTTTATGGCTGAGTAATATTCCATTTTAGAGAAAAACCACATCTTCTTTATCCAGTTTCCAACTGATGGGCAAATAGGCTGTTTCCAAATTTTAGCTATTACACACTGTGCCGATATAAACATGGGTGCGCATACTTTTCTGTGATATGATTCTTTTAGTTCTCTTGGAAAGATACCCAGCAGAGGGATGGCTGGGTCAAATTGAACCTCCAGCCCAAGCTCTTTGAGGTATTTCCATTTTGATTTCCATAGTGTTTGCACCAGTCTGCACTCCCACCAACAAGGGAGAAGGGTTCCTTTCTCCCTACAACCCTGCCAACATTTGTTATTGTTTGATTTCTTGATAGCAGCCATTGTTTGTGGAGTGAGGTGGAATCTCAGTGTTGTTTTCATCTGTATCTCTCAAATGATCAGTGATGTGGAACATTTTTTCATATATTTACTTGCTGCTTTTACTTCTTTAGGAAATGTCTGTTCATTTGGATGCCCATTTTTGAATCGGGTCTTTATATTTGCGGGGGCTGATTGTTTTGAGTTCTTTATATATTCTTGATAATAGTCCTTTGTCTGAGGAATAGCTGGTAAAATTTTTTTGCCACGTTGTAGGTTGTCTCTTAGTTCTGCTGATGGTTTCTTTTGAAGTACAGATGCTTTTTAATAAGATGAGATTCCAGTTGTTGATTCTATCTGCTAGTTCCTGTGCTACTGAGGATTTGTTCATAAAGTCTTTTCCTATGCCAATGTCTTCCAAAGTTCTGCCTAACGTACCTTCCAGAAAGTTTAATGTTTTTGTTTTAATATTTAGATCTTTAATCTATTTGGATTTTAATTTAGTGCATGGTGAAAGATAAGGGTCTAGTTTTAATCTGTGCCAGGTTGAAATCCAGTATTTCCAACACCATTTATTAAAGATCTGCCTCTATATTCTTAACCAGTCACATTACTTTAAATATTATGGAGGAAACTGAATGTGACTGAATTAAACACATTACAGATTTTGATAGATTTTAATATAAATGCAATATATGTTCTGATTAACCACCACAAAACAACCCAAGAAATACAAAATATTTTTAAAGTAACAAATCCTGAGAAAAGTTATTCTGTTTTCACTACTTGAAGCCAAGAAGTTGGTATTTTCCAGTTTTGGTAGTACTTATAAATTTGAAACATCAAAAAGGAATGAGAGAATTGATAATTCACGATGAAATGATAATCATTTATCTTCATGTGGGAGAGAGTTTGAGTGAATATAGTGCTTCTTTAGTGTTGAGCTGGAATTTTGAGACTATTACACCTGAAACCCTCTTCACTGTGTTTTTCCCCAAGGTATAGATTTCATACACTCATAAACTTTAATCACTTGTAATGAAATTCAAAACATTAAGGGAGGTATAAATATTTAAAATTTGAAGTATATGCAAGCTATTTCATTACCCTCACATAGTTATTTTTTGTGTGCCCCTTCCTACATTTTTATGTACACTTAGTATATTTATTATAATGTACCTATAATGTATGTTCTTTCATTCTCTAACATTGCAGTTGTACATCAGTGTTTTCCCATTAAGAAACAACGTATCATATGGCTATGAAGCACATTTAATCATTATCCTATTGTGGAACATTTGGGTAGCTTCCAACTTATGGTCTTTTAATTGAAGTGTTGCCATGGATATCTTCATGTTTATTGTTTACTACCACTAGGTTAATTCCTTGCAATAGATTACAAAAAGAGATTATAGGTTTCTAAATTATAAATTTTTTGGATACAAAATGCCATACTAGTTTTCAAATACTTTGTACTAATTTTTTTATTCCAGTTAAAGTTATAAATCTAAGAAATTCCCCATACTTTTGCAAAATCATGTATTTGAAGCCAGAAGTTACATAGAGTATTTAATTTTTATTTTTATTGGTATTTGTAAGCTGGATATAATGGGACAAGTTACTTAACCATTGACTCTCTATATTGTGTATAAATTAAGCAAAATAGTTCTTTGGTTTCATGAATTCCAACTATTTGAGCTGTTCTGTTTCCTAATTCTTTAATATTGCCTAGTTTTATTACCTGTAAGCATGTTTTTGCTCTTTCATATTATTTAAAACTGAAATGATTTTATTATTTTCAGGCACAAAGTATGAATTCTGAATCATGTAACAACTTTAAGAGTATAGATCTGAAATTTAAGTCCATAGCTTGCTCTTCATAGTATATACTTAAATTTTGTAAAATCAATTCTCCCAGATAATAACTATTTTCCTGTGTGCAGAGTACTATATATTTCAATTATGATAGGGTAGTTCTAAGATATTCATGTCATACATAATCTATTTCCGTCACATTAACAGGTTCTAAAAATCATTTCTGCCATATGCAGTTTATGATTAGTGGATAAACTGGAAACTTTCCCTACTCCTCAATCTTCATTTAGTTATATAAATGTCATTGCAAAATACTTCCTAATATTTTTTCTCATCCAATAATTCCCCTATGTTAAACAATTTTTAAAGAAGAATTTAAAGCTCATAGAAAAACTGAAATAAAAAAATGACCCACTTTCCCTACCTGCAGATACATACAAAATTGCCAATCACCAACATTCCTCACCAGAGAGGTACATTTACTCAAACAGGTAAACCTACACGGATATATCATCTTACCCAGTTTTTGTTACTTGTTAGATTTTAAGAATTCAACACTTAGGGGCTGAGGATACAGTTCAGTGGTTGAATGTTTGCTTAGTATGCACGAGGCCCTGGCTCTAGTGTACTCCCTCAGGTCAGGTGGCGGGTCTCAGCCCTTAGAGTGTATTGGTTTATCGCCAAGGGGAGAACACTGGTCAGTGAAGTCTGCTAGAGCAGGGGCAGTTCTGCTGAGGGGTGAGATAAGCAGGAGCCAAGCAAAGAAGGAAGGAAGATGGCGAGGAGTGTGCAGAGAGAGAGGAGCACGGTACACAAACTGGGCCAAGAAAAGTCCAGTGAGGCTGATGTGGGTAGTGCAAGTGTGGTGCAATTCGATGCTAGAGACACAATGCAGCCAGATCGTATAGTTAGCTTTGCTAAGGTGTTGGGATGAAAACAAATATGCTCTAGCAGCAAGTGTAACACACTGAGGGCTTTTAAGCAGGAATGAGGTGGGGAGGGTGCATGGAACATGATCAGATTAGTTATTTGAAAAGATACACCTAACAATCAACATTTTGTTTGTGTTAAAGAACATAGATCGC